AAACTCAAATGAGGTTTATGGGAAAAGGTAGTAGACTAACTTCTGTGGGGAGTTCATTCAACAGATTTTAGAAACACTCTGTGCCAGGCTCGGACCTGGAACCAGGATACTTGGATGAATAAGGCACAGCCTACCTTCAGATGGCTCATTGTCTAGTTGGGGGAATAAACTTGTAAATTTGCAACTTGTAGCACAGCAAAATAAGTGCAATAATAAAATGAAACCAACATTCCGTGCTGGTGTAGTATGTACCTGTGGGGGAGGGGGTGCTGAAACAGATTTCATGCAGGAGTTCATGCTTGAGCTGAGTCTGGAAGGACAGGTAGGATGCAGTCAGGTAAGCATGGGTTTCGAAGGGGAGTGGGGGGGGTGGAAGGAGGACACTACAGGTGCTCAAATGGTATGATAGACCGTGGATAAGAGTGTTTTTACAGATATTTGTTTAAGGACTGCAGAAGTCATGTGGATAGGTGCAAATACCTCAAAGCATGGTGTGCACGAAAGGCCGGATGACAAAATGTTTTTATACGGACTTGACTGTAGGAGTGTGACATAATGAGAATTGTATGACAGCAGCTTAGAAGGTAGATTGATGGAAAAAGAAAAAAAAAAGAAGACAGATTGGTAGGAAAAGTACTGGAGGCTCGAGACAGTGATCAGGAAGGCAGAATTCATCTCAGAAAAGATGAGGTGGTGAACGGAGCCAGGGTGGGGCAGAGAGAGAGGGAGGTTAATAATTTAGGTAGTGGGTGTACTAAAGAGCTTCTGTCTGGTTTGGTGGGAAGAGATGAGGGAAAAGAGGCCTCTGAACTTGTGGTCTTGCCCAGAGGTGTGTGAAATGGAACATAAGGTGTGGAAAGGAAATGTCAGAACATGTAAATAAATTTAGCTTTTACCTATCTAAGTAAAGGAAAACAATAATATTTTACTAATGTTTTTGCTTTGAATTGCTAGTAATATAGGTATTTAGTTTAAAAATTATACTGCAGGCTGATGCTCAGAATTTTTTTCACTGATAGGAGTCTGATTAAAAATGATTGGAGACCAAGGGATGCTTTAAGACAGTGGTTTCCAAACTTTATAGTCTTGGGACCCTTTACACTCTTTTATATAGGACCCCAAGGAACTTTTGAATATATGGATTATACTTATAGATATTTATTCTGTTAAAATTAACTGTATTAAAAGCTGAAAAATTTGAAAATATTTGGTTAGTAATTCATTTAAAGATAATAACAAACCCAGTACATGACAACATAAATAATGAACTTATTATGAAGAATAACTCTATTTTCTAAAAGAAAAACAATTTATGGAAAAGAGCTGCATTATTTCACAGTTTTGCAAATCTCTTCAGTGTTTGGCTTCTTAGAAGACTTCTGGATTCTCATACCGGCTCCATATGCAGTCTGTTGCAATCTGTTTTTTTGATTGAAGTGTATGAGGTAAATATTGTCACACACAAAGATGTAGTTGGAAAAGGGAGGAGTTTTTAACAGCCTTTTCATGTAATTGTAGATATTCTTCTTTGATACTATACCAAAACTTGATGTGTGATGATTTTCCAATGTTAATTATAATATGAAACCTGGTACCACATCAATATACTTTTCACACTCTGTTATATTAAACCCAATTATTTATTCTGCACTTTGCTTTTTCTTTTTTTCATTTCTTTTTTTTAATTTATTATTATAATACCTAACCTTTATTTTTTCAAATTTTTATTTAAATTCTGGTTAGTGAACGTACAGTGCAATATTGGTTTCTGGAGTAGAATTCAGTGATTCATCACTTACATACAACAGCCAGTGCTCATCACAAGTGCCCTACCCATCACCCATCTAGCCATCCTCCACACACCTCCTTCTATCAACCCTCAGTTTGTTCTCTAGAGTTAAGAGTCTCTTATGGCTTGTTTTCCTCTCTCCATTTTTTTCTTTTCCCCCTTCCCATATGTTCATCTGTTTACTTTCTTAAATTCCACATATGAGTGAGATCATATGGCATTTGTCTTTCTCTGACTGACTTATTTCACTTAGCATAATACTCTCTAGCTCCATCTACATTGTGGCAAATGACATATTCTGCACTTTGAATAGATCTTCATTCAAGCCTGATTTTGTAATATCATGAATTGGTTATTTGAAAAATATTGGTTCACTGAGTTATGAAAGAACTTATAAACATTGTTAAATTTCATTATACAACATCAAAAATCACTTTTGTTACTATCACCAACAGACTCATCAGAAAACCTTTATATATTAGGAAGCTGGCCAAATTCATGGTCATGGATACAAGTTTTCTAGAATTCTATTTTTTTCTGGAATATTTGGATTTTATCATTGGTAACAATTATTGCCAGTTGTCTCCCTTCTTAGTTTGTTTTCAAAAAGATGTCTGCCAAATACCCAAGTCTGAGTAACCATAGTTTGTCTGTATTCTTTTACATACAAACAGGGTTACACAGGAGAAGAGGGGCTATTTGAGCTGGCTACTGAAACAATTGCATAAGGGCTTTTCCTTGTAACAATTGTTGTCATCAAATGAAGCATTTAAAAAAAATTTTGTTTGTTTTTATTGTGAGTAGGTGGTTATGTAGCATAACTTGATACCAAAGTTTGGTACCAATACCTTGATTTGGGCTAAGGCCCTTGTGGTTTGACTCACCATCTCTTTTGCTCCCTCCAGTGTAAATGTAAACATGGTGAAAAAAAAGCAGAGATCATGTTAGTGTTACAGCAGTCCCCCCTTACCCATGGGAGATAACAGTCCAAGACCACCAATGAATGTCTGAACATGCATAGTAATGAACCCTATGTTTTCTCCTATATGTACACACCTATGATAAAGTTTAATTTATAAATTAGGCACAGTAAGAGATTAACAACAATTGTTAATAATAAAATAGAACAATTATAACAATATACTGTAATAAAAGTTACGTGAAGTGGTCTCTCTCTCAGACCACCTTGTTGTACTGTACTCACCCTTCTTGTGATGATGCGAGATGGTAAAATGCCTGAGTGATGAGACCAAGTGAGGTGAATGACGTAGGTGCTGTGACCTAACGTTAGGCTACTACTGACCTTGGGACCATATGTCAGGAGGATCATCTGCTTCTGGACTGCAGCTGACTGGAGGCAGCTGAAACGATGGAAGGCAAAACTGCGGATAAGTGGGAGACTAGTTAAGACTATGAGGAAAATAGTTGTGACTTTATGGACTCTAGGAAAGATCTTGGAGATTCTAGGGAACCCTCTGTAATAACTTCCAGTTTAAGGTCAGCCTGATACAGATGTAGGAAGGCATCATGCTAACTTTTTCAAAAATTTAAGGAGAAAGCATTTCAAGTTTCTGTGACATCAAAAAAAAAGTGAAATAAACTTAATGGCCTTGAAATAATTCTTAAAAATGCCTTTTTTTGGTCTCAGACTAAAAGTTTAAAAGTTGCTTCAACTTTTCTGACATTGACATTTAGCAATCCGAAATGTCTTTTTTTTTTTTCTTGTCTCTAATGCCTAACATTTGACAGAGCCCTGACAACCAAATCACAGAAAAGGAAATTCATTCGCCCTCCAAAGGCTTTCTGATGTATAGTCTCAGCTAAGGGTGCCATTTTTTGGTTTGGAAATTGATTGTTTAAAAACAGTTTTATTTTATATCTTGAAGTGTCCTATATTACACATAGTAACTGTATAAATCAATCCAACTCATGTTTTAGTTGATGAGATATTTTTTCCCCTTAAATCATATAAAAGGGCACTTTATTTTAAAAAAGTTTGCTTAAAGTGTAATTGTTTTAGTCTATCTCATTTCTTTAAGAAGACTTTTTATGGAATCACAGATGATCCTCTGGGTCTTAAGTTGTTTAAAATGTTAATTTCCTAAAATAGTTATGCAGTATATTTGTGAAGCCCATGTATTCTTTCTAATCATAGTTTAGGTACCAATTAAAAGTAATGAAAATGGTCTTAACTCATTTAATGGACCACGGTTAAAATCCAGTTTTTTAAACTATGGCTATGTGTTTGTTATAGAATGATCCTCAAGAGCAGATAATATTGCAGAGGAAAGGCAAAAAGCCATGAGTTAGAAGCCAGAGGAAAATTTTATGAAAAACAAAGTGGGTTTATCAGGTGCTAAATAGGAAAGAAAAGATTTAAGCTAATAAACAAAAGCCTTGGAGAAGATCTGGAGATAAATATTGTCCTTGGTTCTCAAGAAAGGGAAATTTAGTAATGTACCTTTTTTTAATTATAAAAGAATTTCAATCTACAGAAAAATAGAGAATCATATAGCAAATAGCTGTATGTTCCACTTAAACTTAACAGTTGTTAATATTTTATTGTATTTGCTTCCTTTTTTTGCATAGATATTTTAAGCTAAATTAAAGACATTTTACTCCTAAATAGGGTAGTTTGCATCCCCGAAAGAAAAAAACTTACAAATATATATTTTACTGTGATGGGATGATCTGAGAACCCCAGAGGACCTGTGGGGGGGTCTTTGTCTTGTAGACTGGGGTGTGCAAACTATAACTTCTCACAAAATAGCTTGGACCAGTGAAGGGAACTTTCTCAAATTGTTTAGAGCACTTTGAGGAGGAAGGGACACTGAGTTCAGGGCAAGGACTTGGAAGAGAGACAGAAAGGGCACGTTTGATTAAATTTTACTATTTGGTGACTTAACCATTTTCTTTATCTGCCCGTAATGTCTTGATTTAAATTTGCATTATTTATTCATGCTTCAGAAATTGGACTTTTTTTTTTTTTACTTGAGCCCAACCTTAGGATGGGTGTGGAGTAAGAACTGAGCCTACCCAAATATGTTCATTGGAGCTGCACACCTGACATCTAAAGGACCCAGGAATCCATGCTCTGAAGAGTTCTGGCCAGTCAGAAACAGAACGGCTTACTGGAGATACTTAGTCTTTTTTGTTTTTGCATTGAAGTACTATAGTCTGTCTTATTTATGCAATGTCTTCTTATGTTTAGGACTCGGATGTGGTTTATTATACACGGCAACAGTGACCATTACGTGCCAGTATTTTGACAGCCACCGAGGCCTTGCCCTTGGCCTGATTTCAACAGGTACATTTTCAAAATAAGTATAGCATTGTCACTATCCAGCCTTCTAATCAAAGTCAAAAGTTACCAAACACAGATGTTTAACCAACCACTTCCCAGCTCCCACTTAGGGAGCACAAGTTTTTACTCTAGCCCAAGAAGGAAATGTTATTTTCCACTGTGAATAAGGGTGTAGCTTCCAGAAAATCCTAGGATACATATACGAAAAATCTGGGGCATTTGATGACCAATATAATAAAGGAAAGAAAAGCTTATGGGCCCAGTCGAGTGAGTCACAAGCTGGTGAGAGCTTTACTAAAGAAGCAGAGTGCACTTATGTGAGGCACCTTCTCTCTGGGAGAGGTAGGAGAAATGCCAGGAAAGTGGGGACCCCAGGGCTCCGTCAGGAAGCTTGATGCCGACATTTCACCATCTCCATTTACTGCTAAGTGTACAGTTTTTTCTCAAGTCCTGATTTATGAATGCATCTCCCTGGCCATGTGCATATCCACATGACAGCTGTTGACTCTTGTTCTTCCTTTAATAATCAGGAGATAATCACTGCGGGGAAATGTAAATAAAAAAGCCTTCTGGACTTCCTCTGATGTTTTAAAGTGGCATTGCACTTTTCAGATGGATTTTTTCCTAAGCTGTTTAGGGAACTTATCAAAGTTTTCTGTGGCCAATATTTTATGAGTTTGCTTAGGAGACAGAGATGTCAAGTTGCGTAAAAGCTGTACGTTTACATACGCTACTTACTCGTTAATGAGCCCGTAGTCCTGGGAGGTCAGATTTCCAGAGAAACCGAGTAAGTTCAATGATCTTTCTGGCAGCAGAATCCAAACTAATGTTTTATTCCTGAGGCCAACCCAGTGGCAACAAAGTGATTCCAGATTGAATTAAATGGAGCGGGATATTTACCAAAGGTGGTAAAAGGAAGCATTGCCAGGTGAGAAATGTGAATCATGGTCTAAGAGGAGAAAAGACAGGGCCAGAGTCTGAGGACACGGCTAGGCTGAGGCAGAACTGGGAGAAGAAATAGCAAAAACAGAAGACAGAGAACCCAAAGCAGTTGGAATTTTGTTCAAAGAACCTTACAGGATCTCCTGCAGGTGTGGGAGAAAGCGTGAGGGTAAGCATGAGCTTAAAGGACAATAGGTCTTACCTGCACTCTGTTTTTGTGAGGCATTGTAATGTAGCAACAAGCCCAGACCCCGGACCCAGAAGAGCTGGTTTTGAATCCTACCTGTGTCACTCACTTGCTGTCTGGTGACAGACAAGTTATCTAACCGTTCTGTTCAGTTAACTGTTGAGTTAAGCCTCAGTTTTCTGAACTGTAAAATGGGGATAATAGTACTCATCACATCAAGTTATTGGGAATATTAAAGGAACATATGTGTAAGGCACATAGCAAGGGCTCTAAAACATGGAGTATTGTAATTATGACCTAGGTTTCCCATAATGTCCAAATTCATGTATGCTGACGATGCCAGAAATTGTATGCTGTATGCTTTCACTCGGTCTAGAAAGGAGGGCATAAGCCCCAATGGATCGACTCTGGACAGTTAAGATTTGGCAGAATTAAGGAGTTTTTAGTTTCAACTCACAGGGAGCTCAGTGAGGCAAAATTAGGTAGAATCATGGATCTACTTAGTCCTTTTGGGCTGTGATAACAAAGTGCCATAGACTAGGTGGCTTATCTACAACAGAAATGTATGTCTCTGTTCTGGAGCCTGGGAATCCGACATCAGGATGCTGGCATGGTGGGGTTCTGGTGTCAGACCTCTTCCAGGCTGCAGATTGCCACTTTCTTGCTGTTTCCTCACATGGTGGAAGGGGAGGGGGTCTCTCAGGGGTCTCTTTGATATGGGTGCTAATCCCATTCATGAGTACTCCATGGGCTCATGACCTCATCACTCCCCAAAGGCCCCACTTCCTAATACCATCATGTTAGAGGTTAGGATTTCAACATATGAATTGGGGTGGGGGCACAGACATTCAGCCTGTAGCATCCACATTCAGTGAAAGATGACAAGCAAAACAAAACTCACAGCAGAATTTTTTAAAAATTGAAAAGAAACCAAAAATCAAAATATGTGAAATATTGTGACCTCACTGAAAAAAAGGAACATGGGCATGAAACAAAGATTTTTGGTAAGTGATCTTGTTCCATGGTGAACAGGGGTTGTTAACTAATGTCCACAGGCCAGATCTGGTCTACTGCCTGTTTTTGGAGAGCTCATGAGCTAGGAATGATTTTTACATTTTTGTATAGTTAATACAAAAATCAGAATAAGGATGTTCTAGGGCATATGAAAATTATGTGCAATTAAAAATTCAATGTCCATAGATAAAGGTTTATGGGAATATAATCCCTCTCCTTCCTTTACCAGTCTTATTTGGCCGATATTAATAATGGTTGTTCTGAGAGTCCCAAATTATAAGAGATTAAGATTGAACAGCTCCCATTTCCTTTTTAGGTTCAAGTGTTGGACTTTTTATATATGCTGCTTTGCAGAGGTTGCTGATTGAGTTCTATGGGCTGGATGGATGCCTGCTGATTGTGGGTGCCTTAGCTTTAAATATATTAGCCTGTGGCAGCCTGATGAGACCCCTCGAGTCTTCTGATTGCCCTTTGCCTGAAAAAACAGCTCTGGAAAGTGGACCAGCTCGATACTCCATTTACAGTGAGAAAGAAAAGGACCTGGAAGAGAACACAAACATTCTTGGAAAGAGCTATGGTGCTGAGGAAACATGCAAGAGCACCTTGGCCAGTGGTGGCCACAAACAGGAGAGTCTACTTCATAAAAACCCAGCAACAGTGGCGCATGCAAAAGAGGCTGAAACGTACAAAAAGAAAGTTGCAGAACAGACATATTTTTGCAAACAGCTTGCCAAGAGGAAGTGGCAATTATATAAAGACTACTGTGGAGAAACTGTGGCTCTTTTTAAAAACAAAGTATTCTCAGCCCTCTTCATTGCTATCTTCCTGTTTGACATCGGGGGATTTCCGCCTTCTTTACTTATGGAAGATGTGGCAAGAAGTTCAAATGTGAAAGAAGAAGAGCTTATTATGCCTCTCATTTCCATTATTGGTATTATGACAGCAGTGGGTAAACTCCTTTTAGGGATACTGGCTGACTTCAAGTGGATTAATACCTTATATCTTTACGTAGCTACCTTAGTAATCATGGGCCTGGCCTTGTGTGCAATTCCATTTGCCAAAAGTTATGTCACATTGGCAATACTTTCTGGGATTCTAGGGTTTCTGACTGGTAATTGGTCCATCTTCCCATATGTGACCACAAAGACTGTGGGAATTGAAAAATTAGCCCATGCCTATGGGATATTAATGTTCTTTGCTGGACTTGGAAATAGCCTTGGACCACCAATTGTTGGTAAGATGTTCCTTAAAGTCAGTCTATTTTCCTGTTCTTCTTTGTAACATCCCTGGATATAGAAATCCAGATTGTAATAGTAGCACAGATTAGCACAAAATAAATCTGCATAGATGTCTCCTGGTAATGATTTATTCATAATCACTTTGATATAGTTGAAAAGGCCAGTATACTTGCTCAGGGATTTGTGTTCATTTTTTATTTGGGAGAAACTCAAAATGCCTGTTTATCGTTGTCCAAATTATTTGGGAGGTTCTTCTCTGCAGACTCCCAGTAGTCCGCTCTAGAGTACATGGGGTAATTAATATATATCCCGATCCTTACTGTATCAAAGATTGATGAAATTAATGGAGGATGGGCTTCCCCTTCATATGATTTCTATCAAATTCACTTATTTCTTACTGTCTTTGCAGGTTGGTTTTATGACTGGACCCAGACCTATGACACTGCGTTTTATTTCAGTGGCTTCTGTGTCCTGCTGGGAGGCTTCATCCTGCTGCTGACCGCCTTGCCCTCCTGCAACACATGCAACAAGCTGCTGCCCAAGCCGGCTCCATCAACCTTTCTGTACAAAGTTACCTCTAATGTTTAGAGGAATATTGGAAGGCACTACAGACTTTTCTCATAGCAAAATTTCACTGTGGCTGACTCTGAATGAAAATTTTTTTTTTTAACAAATCCTATTCTCTATGTACTGTATATGTAGCTTCTATCTCCTGTATATATTTTTTCCCCTTTTTTTCTTTTTCCAAGAAGTGGGACTCATTACTCATGAGTTCTTGATGATGTAAAAATTTTGGCCTACCTCGGAAGGCTTTCTCTGTGTAAAGAAATATAATTTCTCTGTAGGCTCCATTAGTTCCACTGCAAGGCACCTAGAGGGGGCTCTTTTATTTTAAACCCGATGCAGGCAGCATGATGAGCTATATGTGAAGGCCACTAGGGACTAAATCACTCTCTTCTCTATGTTAGACTGGCTGGTACATGAAAACAGTTACTAAAATGGCATTAAGAATTGCAGTGGAGCAAGCCGATCTTTTTTTTTTCAAAGATCTTTTGAATTACAGTCACTAGTTTTCACTATTTGATTTTATTTCCCTTGAGGCAGCACCCTATGTTCAGACCCACTGTGCTTAAATCGTTTCATTTCCTAAGGTGTTTGCTGAGAGGAAGGCAGTCTCCAAACAGGGGCATTCATCACAGCCTTGCTCATGGTCGGCTGCATAACCCCACTCACTCTTCTCTGTCAGCATCCAGTCAACTGATGTTTCCCAGGAAGTGCTGATTTCCAGGAAGTGCTGATTTTACCTGTTTCCAAATTGGAAATGTGTAAACCATTCCGTTCTGGCAAATGGGCAACGTCCCTTTGCTTCGGCCACAGTGGGAATGAATTGCAAATCCTTGCATAACTTCTCAATGAACCGTTTATTTGGTACTATCAGATTTTACCTGTATCAAATTTTAATTCAAGGGCAGAACTAAAACGTGTGTATGTGTGTGCGCGTGTGTGCACGTGTGTGCGTGCGTGTATGTGTGCGTGCATGTGTGTGTGCATGCATGTGTGTGTATGTGTGTGTATGTACTCCAAGTCTGTGTGGGACATGGAAAGAGAAAAAGGCAATAAGACATTCATACCCTGATCCAAGTTTATTCAATCATATAAAAATTTTTGGAAGAAAATCAATGTTTAATAAATGGACATTTTCCTAAAGAAATATTTTTTAACTTTGCTATATGATAGAATCTGCTAGATCTTTTAAAAAATATAGTTGCCTGAGTGCTACTCTTAGAGATTTTAATTCTGTAGGTGTAGGCTGTAGGCCAAGCATCAACATTTTTAGGGAACTCTTCAAGGAATTCTGACAATAGAGCCGTCGAGAATGGCTGTTATAAGACTGGCAATAGAGAAAGAGTCATTCTCTTAAATAAAAAACAAAAAAGCAATAAACCATTGAGGTGAGGTGTTTTTAGAAATAGCCAACTGTGGTTCTTTAAATAGGACGCACTCTTCTTATTGTGCCAAAATTTTCTTTTCATTTCTTTTGAAATATGTAAGATTTTATACTTCTATGTTGCCTTTCTTGGAAGGCGCCTAAAGCACTTTATAAGCATGAAGCCCCACCACACCTCAGTGAAGTAGGTAAGTACTACTTTTCTATGGAGTAAACCTGGAGTGTGGGGGAATTTCATAACTGAGTTAATCCTACTCAATAATGCAATAATGGGGCTCCAAAGTGCCTTGGACTTCTACTCCATACTCAGACTTCTGGAAAGTTTTCTGTACCTCATTCTTTAGTTACTGTCAAGGTTAGTAAATAAAAGAAGTGACATTTTAAAAATTTAAACTAAATGTTTTTGTATTGAAAGTTCCTTTTTGCCAATATTATATTCAGGAAATCCTATAACCTGAAAAATTTAACTTTCACAACATCCCCACATTCATCAATGTTGATAATTGTCCAAATGCATCTTCACTCTGTCTACTAATGTCAACCAGTGTGTGCATTTTCCATTGTCTAGGGAATGAATTTTATGTTACAATAAAATATTTTTTTGGTTTGTTTTGCATTGGTTTGGTTGCTTTTTCTCTTCTTAGCCACCCTCCTCCCCCAAATTGCAGTGACATTTCACTTGAAATGTAAAAAAAATTAATTACCACATGTTCACTTCAGACCCCAGAATTTGCTGACTGGACCTCAACACATTCAAGTCAATCTGCTGAACTATTTTGACCATTGCCTTCCAAAAAGCTAACATGTCAATCCTACAGAATGATGTTGGCAGTCATTAATGGAATTCTTAATATGTTCTAGGCACATTATATTATTTATCTTTCATTATAGCCCTGTGAGGTGGGGATTATAGTCTTCATTGTATGGTACAAAACATAATTGTCATGATATGGACAACATATATAAGTAGCTTCCAAAAGCAAAATGAAGAAAGTTTCTAGTAAACCCTCTGATTTTTAACACGGCTAGGAAATGGGGCTTGGGTGGGAGGGCTGCTGTAAAGCCAGTCCTTTAGTGAATAGACAAGTCATGTTTATGTAAATAATTATTCAATTTTGCCCATTTCCTAAGAATTAACATTTTTTTTAAAAAGTTTATGTATCTGTGTCAGGGGCTGAACTCATGATCCCGGGATCGAGAGTCACCTGCTCTTCCGACTGAGCCTGCCAGACACCCAAGAATTAACATTTAAAAACACACTTAATGAAATTATAATTGATTAGAACATAATCTTTCTTTTGCGACTGAAATGGTATTTTGTAACCTTCTAAGTGCCTGGGACTTTGTTAAGCGCCCCTGCTTCCTCCTTTCGGCCTTCTGCCTCACTCTGTCTCTGATAAGCCTCCCAGGAGCCCGTTGCTGAATTAATTTTCTCTAGGGTGACCAGGTCATCAAGAGAGAAGTTTCAGCCACCACCTTTTAAAAGCCCCGTGAGGAACGGTTCCCAGGAACCAGGAGTCGCAGCGCTGGGAGGTCATGACCGTGGGGGCTGTCAGTTATGTTGTGCTGGCTGGGAAAGTCCCCTGACCTCAGAGAGCCTCAACTTCTAGCAATCAGTCTGGGATTATCTTAACTCGCAACGTTCTGGGAAATAAAGGAGAGCTCTCTTTTGAAGGAAAGAACGCCTCATTTTTTCTCTTACTTAGGAGCATTATTTTAAACACATCAAGTACACAGTTTACATTAGCAATGCCATACAATTTCTCCCTCATTAATAATGATCCTGGGGGACCTTTTGCTCTGCAGTCAAGAGTGTCTGAAGGATGCCGGTTAATGAAATGCCTCTTTGAGTCAGGAGTCTGACTACAATCAGTTAAAATGATCAGAGATGGATACATGGATAATATTCAGAGATGCGGTACACATATTTGTTAAGGTTACGGTTTCTGGGTTCAAATCCTAGCCCAGGTCCTGTGCTAGGTGACTGAGAGCGTATCATTTAACCTTTAACCTTGCAAAGCCTTAGGTGTTTCCTCCCTTGTCAAACATGTCATAGGACTGTTAGGGGAATTAAATAACATAACCCATATACATTCCTGGCACCTGTTCAATAAACACTAGCTATTATTATTTTTGTTGCTCTCATTATTCCTTAGGGTGTGGCCTCTCAGTCTCTGAGGGAGGTGTCAAGTGTTCCGGGGCACAGGTGTGGGGTAAATGTTTGCTTCCAAGGGCCTCATTTAGAGGAAGAAGGCGCCTCCTGTTACCCCTAACTGGCGCCGCTCTCACAGCTATTGCCCTCCCCAACCATGTTCTTGTCAAGATCTTCTACCCTTAGGGATTCATGACTCAGCACATTTTTTCTGGAATTGCCATTCAGAGGCTCTGACGCAAAACAAAACACAAGCTGTTCCTCCACAAATCAAATAGAATTCACTTTGTAAATCAAATTGCTATGGGAATTTGAACTTTTATTTATTTCCTTAAGAACTCATCATCTGAGCTGTTTGGAAGGTGGGCCTGAAATCAGACAGAAAGCAAAATGCTCGTATTTGTTTATTGAGCACTAATTGGCTTCAGCTCAGGGCTCTTACCTCCCTCTGCCTTCCCTGACCTCTTTCAGATTTACTCTTGGGGGAGCATAATTCCTTGCCAGGTCTTCTGGGATTCTATTCCTAGCAGGTCTGTCACATTAGTTGCTTCTTACAACATGCATTCCTTGTCCTAAAGAGTCACTTACTTTTATTCTCTCTCCTCGCAAAAATCAAAAATATATATATTTAGAATTTAATAATTTTTTTCTAAGTGATAGTCTACAAACATCGGTAAACAGCACATTTTCTTTTCTTTTTTTTTTTTAAGCAGATTTTTTAAGGGGCGGGTAGGGGCAGAGGGAGTGGGAGAGAGAGAATCCCAAGCAGGCTCCATACCCAGCCCAGCACGGAGCCTGTTGCAGGGCTCCCTCTCATGACCCTGACTTATGACCTGAGCCAAAATCTGCGAGTTGGACACTTAACCGACTGAGCCACCCAGGTGCCCCAACAGCATATTTTCTATAACAAATAATTAACTGTGGTCCAGGTGCTGTCCTGCTGTAGGTCACCCTAAAGTACAAAGCCATGGAGACATGCTTGTTTTTCCTTCCTGGAAAATACCTAATGTGATAAGGCAAGATGTTATTCCTCCAGCTTAGATCTGAAAACACCTCAATATCTACAGCTTTAATAGGGCATTTCTAAGTGTAGCCCAAATGGCTCTCGGACCATAACAACAAAAGAGAACAGATGGAAATGGCTATATTAACCTTTAAGAGATGAGAGGCCAGGCTCAACAGTCCATTTTCATATAGTCTCTACAGCTGCTGAGAGGGTGCCATTTTGAGAACTCCAGCGCAGGATCCCCTCTCGAAGGAGATTCTCCCTGAAGGTCAAGTGTGAACAAGGGCTGATGGAGGAATCAGTTGAAGCCAATGAGAGTGCCATGCTACACAGAGTCAGGATGAGCTCAGGTTCCTGGACGCAACAGTAGAGTGGCAGTTTGTCTGATAAAATGGAATAATATATGGGACCCTCCTCGGATCAAGACTGAAAACTGCTGTAACTTCCAGTGGCATTTTAGCTCTCACTAGCTGAGAGGCATAAGCAGGGATGAGAGCTGTCTCTGTTCTTTGTTCTCAAAGCCCTGGCGAGTGGTGTGAACCAAGGAAAGGTGTCAACAGAAGCATCAAGGAAACCTGCTGGCAGTTCTGATGGAACTGGCAATGGATGTTGCAAAGAAATCTGAGAGAAAGTGTGTGTGTGTGTGTGTGTGTGAGAGAGAGAGAGAGAGAGAAAGAGAGAGAGAGAGAGGGAGAGTTGTGGGTGTTCAAGAGAGAGATTCTCCTCATTACCTCAGCCTACAGTCCACATGTAGTTATGAAACATCTCAGAGGAAGACCTTGTTTCAGGACCTGAGGCATCCTGGTCTTTCCAGGAAGACCTGAAAATTGAAAATCTCCAAGTTGTTTTTAGGCAACAACCCTCCTTTCAGTTGGGCTTCTTGAGGAAGTTCGGGGTGAACTTCCTTTGTGGATTATTGGCTTTGCCTTTGGGGAATTTGCTCAAACCCCATCACCCCCCTTGAGAAATCTTTGGGAAGGGTGGGGGCTCTCAGTGAAGGAGACAGCAGTTCAGTGCCTAGTTAGCCAGGACAGTTCTATGAGTAGGAACATGTCCCAGGAAATCACGGAGCACCAAGGGCTGTTTTAACTACCTGGGGCCTGGTAAGCTGAACATTGGGAATAGCTGTTAACAAGAAAATAGCCTGGCATAGAAGAGAAAGATTGGGATCTGGAGTCCAACACAGCAGGCTTGACTTAGTTCCTCCAGCTACCATCTTACTAGGTGAGTAATCTTAGTTTCATTTGTTAAACTCTCTTAGCTTCATTTTTGTTGTTGGTGAACTGTATTGCTGGAAGATTTAGAAATAATAGATGCAAAATGTCCAGTGTGTCGTAGTTTCTAAAAAAAATAGAAATGATTTTTAACCTCTGCTCCCATAAAGTGAATCCCAGTATTATAAAAAGTAGGAGGTATATGGTAAAATGGTAGATACACAATATATATGGTAGATTGGATTCTTACCTCACTGCTATATGATATGGGCATGTTATCAAACTATCCTGCAAACAGTGTGTGTGTAGTGGTGGTATGGGAGGGGAGAGTGTATCACTCCCAGGGGCTGTCCTAGATTCCAGAAATACAAGAATAAATAAGAAAGTCTCTTGCTCTGAGAAGTTCATGGTTCAGTAGGACCAACTGATACCCAATTAAGTATAAATTCAGAACCTGCTTTTAAAAATTTGCTTGTTAATTTTTGTATTCATTCAACAAATTTTTATGTAGCACACACCATGTGGCAGGTACACCGGTGTTGAGGTAATGGTGATACACAAGACAAATGTGGTCCCTCTGTTCACAAGGATTTCTTAAAGCAAAAAATCGATCCCATGGTAGTCTAACTAGTAATTGTGCTTTAAGGCCAATTCTCTCTATCAGATTGTCCTAGCAGGAGGAAAAGGTATACATGTATGCTTGCTGTCATAGCAGATGCTGTGGTGTGCCACCCAGATACCCTTCAGGACCTGGTCACTCATCTCCCTGGGGCCTGGGATTGGCTGCTGAGGGCTCACAGCTGAGTCCTGCTCTGGGAACTACCTTCAGCTGAAGGCATTCTACTGCCTCTTCAGGGAAGCCAGAGTCTAGTGACCCTGGCCTCAGTGACTGATGAATGGCTTCTTTGACTAAATTTCGACAACTCCAGAGCCATCCCAGCTCTAGAGCTTCCTCTAGAACTGAGGCCTCTGTTGCACTTGATTCACAGCTGAACCTTTCCCTCTGTCCCACCCTATTTTCCTACTTCCTTGCAGGTGCTTTTCTGGACAGCACTCCCCAGTAAACTTCCTGCTTGCAAATTCCATTGCATAGTTTGTTTTCACCAGGAGATCTGACTGAAAACACCTGTAACTTCAACACAGTGGGATAATGCCCTGCACACAGGGTCATCAGAGCAGGGAGAGGGGAGGGAGACATCTTTCTTGAGGGCCTATATGTATCCAGTATTCTTTCAGGT